TGTGTCCTTGATGTACAAAGTAATACAAAAAGTGGCCCCATGGGAGCTAAGTGGTGTTGTAATAAGACAGCGATGAAAAAAGCCTGTAAGCATGTGTTATAGCACCGGTATTCAGTATCCGGGGCGACGTATTGCCCGCTCCTTGTCTGTTTTGTTTGGTGTCCTTACATGAGAACCACGCATACCTGGGGACTGAATTTGAAATTTTAAGTTCTGCGTGGATAGGGAATTACCTCCACCTTCATACTGCTCCTTCCCATTCGAAAGGGCCGTTGACGAAATTTGTTCAGAATTTCCCAAAGACGCGCTAATCATTACGCTAATGTGCTAAAGCAGCAACAAAGCAATATCAGTCGTTTATTTATGGACGGTCTCCGTGATGTACTTTGAAGCGCAGACTAGCAACATTTTGTTGGTTTCGGGACATTCCGGTAGTCTTTTATGCGTTGTGTTCCCTCTAGATACTCACTGCTGCGAGATGCAGTTTCATTGCTTAGAAGAGGGTGCTTCATAGACTGTTGTCGTTCCAAAGTTCAGCTCGAGTCTCTCTGCAGCTAGAGGTTTAGCTGCACTTCTCGTGCACCATTTTTCTCAGTGAGTTTTTTACGCTTGCTGAAGTTTTAGTTGGGCAGTTGGAGAAAGCTGCTGAATTAAAGTTCGCTTAAGCAAGGTAAATGAATTGCTTTTATTTGTCTTGTCGGCTTAGGCTGTTGAAGAAGGAGGAGTGGGGGAAGGGGGAGGGGGGCCTGCGACGTCCTGTCAGTTTACCAAGCCAGTGTTCTCAGTCAGTTGAGGGCTGGTATCCTGGACAGTTGGCTGGGGAAATGTTTCGCCTAATTTTTCACTGCACACTGAACTGCTGCTCATACTTCGTGACTTTTTGAGCACAGCTCAGCTGAATCCTTTGCCTGCAGTACTCGTGATCAGTTAGAAGGCATCAAACGTCGTCTTGTCGCCTACAGTCTTCTTGACGTGCTGCAGATTTTGCACTGATTTCACTATTCGGCAAAGATTCCGGAAGATTTTCTCCGTTTGTCCGGTCGGTAGAAATCTCGCTGCATCTGTAACTGCATTGTGCCGTAGAAGGGCGATAAGTGAATTCCATTGCTATATTCTGCTCAGCTGCTTCCAACCTTCTTGTCCGCACTATTCCTAGTGTGTCTGCTGCTTGTAAGCAAGCCGAGCAAGAAGCAGCACCAGCAGCAAGCCTTTATTGTAATGGCCGTCAAGCACAAATTTCAAAAATGTAATTTTAATTGTGACAAATGTGAGATGAGTGTACGGCCTGTTGATCTCGCCGCCTATGGCAATAGCCCATTGCTGGCAAAAATTTATGATCGAAATGGTCGCAAACGTCGTCATGTACGATTTATTGTAGCGGATGCGAAACTAGAAGCAGAGTACATTTGGCGTTTTCTGGGGCAGCTCAGTACGTTGGAGGAAAGCCGTCTGTGCGAGCTGAAATACGGGCTGCAAGATACACTGAAGGTGTGTGTTTTCCTGCCAAATTAATCAAATTTCAACCATCGTCTCTTCGTAACTAAAAACATCGGTGCAGGAAAAATTCAAATTTGAAATTTTCTTTATGTCCCCCAGCTATGTCAGATCTGATGACCCGGTCATTACTGGCTTTATTTTTTTTTTACAGATTTTTCGTTTTTTTCGCCCATTTTCATTTTTGCTATGGCTTCAATCGAGACACTCCATTTTTACGTTTTCTCGTAGTCTTTTATAAATTCAGCGTGTTTGGAAGTTTTAGTAGGAAAGGAGTTGAAAGTGAGGGCACCATACCGAAATGTCCTTCTGGTCTTTATGCATGGGCAATCAGTTGGCGTACTGAACTTTCGGTTGTAGCTGCCCACAAGCATTTTTGGCGAGTTGCTCATTTACTGCTGTTTATCAACACCAATTAGACAATAGTGCAAAGATATGTAACTTACTGAACAGTGTGTGCTTCCATACAAAATTTTGCAAGATCGATTCGTAGTTGAAGCGGCCTTGAAGCCTGGCTGCTGTACCGGCCGGGTTCGTTCTCCGTTGTGCCTATTTTTACCCACCATTATCTTACTTCCAGATATTTCGGCTAGTCTAGAAA